GGGGGAGACGCCGCCACGCAGCGGCCGCCAGAACCACGACTCCCAGCATTCCTGGCGCCGCCCCGCTCTCGCGGCTTCCTCTTCCGGTGCTGGGGCTGCAGAAACCCGAAGTGTGGCGCTTTGGCCGCTGGGCCGGGGCTGATCCTCTCCTTCACCTTCAGGAGCCCTAACCGACCCAGGTCGGCAAGCCAGACGGGCAGTAAAATATGAACAGGAGAGTGGATTACTTGGTTACGGAGGAAGAGATCAATCTTACTAGAGGACCCTCAGGTATGTGCAGTCGTCATCTCTGGCAGTGGGGTTCCCGAGGCTGTAATTGCAGAGCGGACACTTCTTCTGCGGGGCCCCGTTCTTTTGGCCTCGGAAAAGACAGGCTCCAGCCTAGAGGTTTCCTGTAACGTTCGTGAGCACGTAGAAGAATATATTGGCATCCAGCGTTAGCCTGAGACGGATCTGAAGCGTCCACCTCATTTTTCAGTCGAAGTACCACATGAATTTATAGTCAGGAGGAGTTTCTTTCTGCTAATGGTACTAGAAAATCCTGGGGGAAAGCCTGCGTCTTTGCCCGCACCCGTAAACACCACACCCCTCCTAACATTGCCTACTGTATCACTGTTTCTATAGTGACTGTTTAGTAAAAGTGGGAGCATAGACAGTGTGGACTGTAAATGCATCGGCGTTTTCTTGTTGCTGGTATTCCTCCCTCCCTTTTTTCATTCCTGAGAAATTCATTTAGAGGGTCAGTTGGAGTGTTAAAGCAAAAAGAGACCTTAGAGATCTACGACAGCAGTTCCCAGACCTGGTTTTGCCTCAAAATTATCCAAGGTTTTTGCTTTGCTTTAAAGAAAAAAGTTAATTCCTAGGACTCATCTCTCTGAATTTGGATTCAATGCAGGTGTTTCTTTGTTTGGGTTGTTTTTTTTTTTCCCCTTCCCTCCCTCCATCCCTCCCTCCTTTCTTCCTTTTTGTCTTTCAACAAGCACCTCCTGTGATTTTGATACTGCCAAATCCTCACTTACCCCTACAGCCCTCTTGTCCCCTGACGCTCTTTACTCCACTAGCCTCTTAACATTACTACATGCTGCCTGCCTTGGATTTTATTGCCTTTCCTTTACAGCCGGCTAGTGTGTGTATTAAAGCTTTAACTTTGGGATTATGTAGTTCCAAATCTGGTATCCAACCTCTTACTGACTCTTTGATATTTACTGGGTAACTTTAATGATGTAAACCTTAGTTTCTCATCTGTAACATGTCAATGATAATAGAATACACTTCATAGGGTGATGAGAATGAAATCATTTAATCTATATAAAACATTTAGAATCTTGTGTGGTAAGTAAGCACTGTATGTTCACTACTGTTATTTTTATGGTTAATAGATAAGTGGCTAGGTTAACACAGTAAATCCTGCTGTTATTCCAAGAGTCCCCAACAAGTCATCAAGTACCATGAAGTTTTTTGGTAAACCCTTCTCTCCTGTCTGTTTCCATCACCATGACCTAGACCAGTCAGTCCATCATCTTTTCTCATCTGGAACTTTGCAATAGCTTGCCCACCACTGATGGATTATTCTTCATAAAATTTGGCTTTCAGAATCATCTGTGCCTTGTCTTCTTTCTTGTTATAAAAAAATATAAAATCGACTTTACTTATGAGGATATAATTCATTGCTAATCTGCACGGTTTAATGTCATGCTCCATAAGAGCTCTTAAACTTTTGTCAAAGGCTCATTTCAGTATGCCCAAGTCTCCTTTTATTCCTGATTTTATGTAAACTTCTCCTTCTCTCACTCTTAATGGTTCTTGACTTTTGAGGCTAACATGGAAACTTACTGTTAACTCAAAATCTGTTTCTCTGTACTTTTCATCATTGGTACTTGTTCTTCTCCTAGGGCCAGTTGAAGCAGTAGTAGTTTGTTACCTGACTGGCCTGCAAGTATTTAAAGACATCTAGTTATTCTCCAGCTTTGTCTCTTCCTTCTGCAGCCTGAAGATCCCTAGTTGTTACATTAGCTCTCTTGCTATTTGATTTGAGGTTTGATTCTAGTCTTTTGCTTAAGAATTTAACATACTCATAGTCCTTTTGCTGCAGTAACCATAGTATTTCCAGGATCTCCTAGAGCAGAGCAGAACTCTGATATTATCTTGCTTATTCCAGTCCCTAAATAGTTTTAAAGTTTAGTAGAATATCACTTCACCTTTTTTAGTATTTACATAACAATGCTGCTTAATGTTCACCTCATCATTCACTAAAAATTCTGATCCTGTTGATCTGGCAGATCTAAATTTCCTACTGCTATCCTTTTTCTGCATTATTGGAATTAGGACAGACTTTCAGGGGCTGATTAAGAAGAATAATTATATCTAGCTAGTATGTTTCACCCCAGAGTGGTTTCATTTCTGTATTGGGTGTGCATTTGTTCAAAACAAACGTATTTATTCACCTGATGACTTCTTTAATTTTTTCTAAAAAGTATCATGTCTTACTCATGTAAGTTGATAAACTTAAAGGTTTAGGCAAGAAGAGCCACAAACTTGGATAAAAACAGTTATTTAAAGCTTGGCTGCTTCAGTTAACAGGAAAAGGTTCCAAGTTTCTGTCTGTCACCTCCCAAAGCTAGTTACCTGCTACATGGTACTCCTAAGTCCCACAGTCTAACTCAGGTTTTCCTCACTGAAGTATCGTGAAGATATACAGTTAAATCAGTTACTACGAGTCACTACTAGAAGCTTCTAATAATTTTGGTAGACCCATAGTGATCTTTCACTGGAAGAAATATGAAAAGCCTCTAGTTACAAGTATAGCGTTTCTGTTTGTAGGCAGCATTGTCACTTTGTCTCTGTACAGCTTCCTATGCAAGGACCTGATAGTTTGTTTCGTGAGGTAACTGCAAAAATGTATATGCTTTTGCTTTTTTCGTGCCCGTGTTCTGTCAGAGGCAAGGGTCTTGGATATTTCCAGTGTTTGGACCCATTTTGCAAGGCAAATGAACCTATTCTGTCTGATCTTGCTTACTGTGAGGGAAATAATAAAGTCTTGGGAAAATTAAGGCAATGAAGTGAGTATCTGGTGAGGCAGAAAGAAGCTTGGTATGTAGCTTGACATCTATCCTATGCCAGCTTCCTCAGCTGTGTAAGGAGAGGCTTAGGCTGGATGGCAGTGGAAGTTTCCTCCACTTCTTAGAGTTCATGATTCTTTGGCCCATTCCATGTGATTTATGATTCCTGCCATTTTGACCTAACAGTAGGCGGTCTGAAGAACCAATCACAATCTCAAATACATTCAAAGTTTTGAAGAGTTCACTTTTTATCCTTTGTGGAACACTGTCTCTTTTCCTTCTGTGGGAGTCCAGCTTGATTAGAGTCTCTAAGTCTCCCACTTTTTCCTTTATCAAATTGAGAGCTCTTAACATTGGAAAGACTCAGTTACTCTAAGAAGTATGACGGGATTCTAATCTAGCTTTTTTTTTTCACTGTGACAGGTACAGATTGGCCATAAAAACAACCCTACTGCACATTGGATATTAGGATTCTTTGTTCAGGACTGAGGCTTCAATGGATTTTCAGCAAGTTGCTCCCAACAAACCATTTTTAAAGAGTGAACAGAATCTCTATTTTTCTACTTTCTTTAAAGGAATTGCAGAGGCTAATGGGTTGGTACAGTGTTTTAATAATGAATAATTAAGGAAGTGTGCCCTTTCTGGCAATGTGCTAGCTACTTTATATCTATTTTTGTTTGTTTGTTTTTGTTTTTTCTTCATAGCAACCGTGAGTGGTGATGAATCCAATTATTAGATGAGGAAATTATCTCTCACAGAGGTTAAGGATTTGCCCAAGTTCTAAAGCCAGTAAGTTTCAAAGGCCAGGAATTTAACCCAGATCTGTTGATTTTAGTATTCCATACTACCTCCCAGTGTACATACTGCCTCCCAGTATAGTATAGTAGCTGTCCCTAAGGAGTTGGCTGTCTGACCTTTATTTCTCTCCTGACCTTTATTTTCTTCGGTCATGCCTAATGTCCAGAAGGATTTGAGGCATCTTAAAGGACTAACATAATCCGCCGTGGGAAGTTTTGATGGTTTGCTATTATTGATAGAGCTGAGGGTGGAACCTAAAAACAAGAAATCTCATTAAGTCCAAGCATTTAAGCCTCTAGAGGCCTGCCATATGCTTTGTATTTAACTCAGAGACTATTGCTAACAGTTTTCTGATCTTTCATGAATCCCATAGATCTGAGAATAAAGTGATATATCCTTGCCCTGTTTTCTGTTGATTACATGAAGTCTAGCCCTCCTGGAATTTAGATTTCAATGGAGACATGGCATTCACATGTAAGAAGTTAAACCTCAGTGCAAAGGCAGAGATGGTTAAGGACTATGATGAGCATATACGTAACAGGAGAGCAAAGGAAGTGTGGAGGGGAATGTGTTAATCTAATCCTGTGCTGGAAAAGGTCAAAGAATGGAGCCATTCGTGAGGGCCAGAGTGATCAGTTGCACGAAGGTGGACTCCTGGTGGTCTTGTAAACTAGGTTTAGGCTAGTGTCAGGAACAGGGATGACCTAAGCAGTAATAGAGAAAAGAAAATGAGTAAGCATGTTCTGAGCTCAGTGAGTAAACCAGCCTGGATATAAGGGAGGGTTCATTTAGGAGAGTTAAGGAAGAGGAGGTTGCTAAGGTAGGTAGACACTGGTTTTTGAAAAGTTCTCAATGCTAGTGTGGAAAACTTAACCTTTCTTTAAGGTTCCATAATTCCTTTTCATTGGTTACGACTCAGTTCAAGAGTTACCTCCTCCAGGAAACCTTCCTTACCCAGGCTAGATGCCCCATGTCCCCTTATTACAAATTTCAAACACCATTTATTGAGTGTCTGCTGTGTATTGCCAGACTTAGCACTTTGTCTCATCTATTCCCAACAAGGAATAAATGAAATGGTTATTGTCCCATTTTACAAACGAGAAAATCTCGCCTCTTAAATCACACAACTCCTTAAGAAGCAGAGTTAAGAACTAGATTCAGGTCTTTGTGACTTAAAAACCCAGGCCCTGAACCATCATAGAAAGATCACAGAGTCCTAAAGAGCATAAGGAAGGGGGGGAAAAAAGTGTTTATTTCTATATTTGCTTCCTTACTTGTGTCTCCTCCTCCTTCTTCTTCAGACTGAAGTCTTCTGATTCAAAGGATATATTTTACATCTCTTGTTTTCCTAATGCTTTGCCTGGTGCATGACCCAAAGTAGTCAGTAAATGTTCATGAACTGACTAGGCACAT